TGTTAGTATCATCAGGTTTGCAGGTAAAAGCTTTCCCAGAGCTTGAAGTCAATTAAATGGTGAAGTAATTATTTTGTATGTATTTGCATTTTGGTTATTTGCTTTGCTTAAATCCCTAGATTTTTTTGGGAGGGAAGGAGCTTTTTGTAATGTTAGTTAGAGAGAAGTCAAGATTGAAACCCTGCCACGATAAGAAAAATACAGTAGAATAGTGCAGCAGTTAGAATTACTTGCCTCATATACTTAAACTGTATTATATGGGTGAAATCCTTAAACTTTTGGATACTAAGAATCATTTGGAGGCCCTCATTAAAAATATTCCAACTCCAGAGATTCTAGTTTAGCAGGTTATATTTCTTTGATGAGAAATCAGGTGATTTCTGATTCAGTTAGTGTGTGCATAATGCTTTGAGAGACTCTCCTGAATGGGGCTGAAAAAACTAGTAGAATATGAGAGAATGGCCAATAAATAAACCTACAAACTCATTTAAATTGATATTCAAAGAGTTATGTAGTAACCCAAATTACTTAAAAAAATGACTAGACTTCAAATATTTTACTGTGTTGTCTTTAATTCAGTAAGTGTGTAGTACTTATTCTCAGAGTATGTTTGTAAAACTTCAGGACCTATAGATATTCCATGAAAAAAGAGTTCCATCAGGTAAGTTTGTGAAATGTTATATACTGTCCTCCATACTTAGAGGTTTATGGTGCATATTAACATATTAAATAAGACCCTTAGAAGTCCTACAGGGAAGGACCTTGAACCTCATTGTTTCCAAACTTATTTGACTCTGAACCTTCCTTTTTTCTCCTAATAATTCCTATTAATAATTTACTGAATGAACTTTGGGTAATCTTGAGCTTTTCCCCCCTCTTGGTATGGTGTGCAATTAAAAAGAAATGAAGTATTTTTTTTGTAAGTGAGAACTTAAAATCTTGCTAGAATCTCAAGACTTAGAATATGACATTTTAAAGATGGTAAACATATTATACTAAGTTGAATATAACCAAATGCCAAAATATATAATAGAGTTGCAGCCTGTAGAGGGAAAAGGTCAATTTATATTAGATCCTTCAGGTAAGATTTTCAGGAAAAGTTTTTTTGTTTTTTTTTTTAAAGTTAGTGCTGCTCACTGTGGGGCTTGAACTGAGAATTCTGAGGTCAAGGGTTGCATACCAACTGAGCCAGCTAGGCGCCCAGAAAAAGTTGGGTGAGTGATGGGATTTGATTAGGAGGAATAATGCTGGCTTGGACTATCTAAATTGATGAAGTAGTTCACAGGCATCTGTTCCGTTTCTGTATTCACAGACATGCCTTAGGTTAGAACACATGACGTGGCTTTCTCAGTGAGTACTAGATGAGTATGTTATATAATAATGCTTTTCAGACACTAATGTGCGCAAGAATCACTTGGGGGTCTTTAAAAAAATTTTTAATGTTTTATTTATTTCTGAGAGAGAGACAGCATGAGCAGGGGAGGGTCAGAAAGAGGGAGGCACAGAATCTGAAACAGGCTCCAGGCTCTGAGCTAGCTGTCAGCACAGAGCCCAATGCAGAGCTCGAACCCATGAACCATGAGATCATGACCTGAACCAAAGTCGGACACTCAACCGACTGAGCCACCCAGGTGCCCCATCACCTGGGGAATCTTGTAAAAAAAAAAAAAAAAAAAAAATGTTTCTGATTGTTTAGGTCTGGGGTGGAGCATATGTGTCGTGAGAAATGTAGACACTAATTAGGTCTTGAATGAGTAGTTGAGTTAGATGACCTTTAAGACATGCTTTAACCTTAGTATTTTTCTAAATATCTAAGGGTAGAGTATTTGAGATAGTAGTAAGAGTTGTATTTTAGGAATGGCAGGACCTAATTTTTTTTTCTTCCGTCTTTTTTTAGTCATGTGACTTTGGGCTAGTTAGTTAATTTACTCTGGAAAGGATGGGATTGGAGATGGCAAGAGCCTGAGGAAGTGAAATAGTACAATTTTAAAAAGCACTCATTTGTTAAGTACAGTAAGCATGTTTATTGATAAGGTACTATTACATGATTGAATTGCATTTTTTTTTTTTTTTTTTTTGTTGAATTGCATTTTAAATCGTTTTTCCCCCTTTACTAAGGATAGTTTGGAAGTAGCTGAACAGGTTTTCTTGGTAATTTTAGTAAGTGGTATTGGATGTTACACAACTAATATATTTATTTTCCTTAATGATGGACACTCTGATTGAATATCTGGTTGCTTTTCCCTTTGTGTCTTTCAGTATGAGTGTAGCCTTGTGGCTTGCTTATTTATTTATATATTTATTTATTTATTATTTTCAGAGCAAGAACACAAGTTGGGAAGAGGGGCAGAGAGAGAGATGGAATCTTAAGCAGACTCCATACTCTGCATGGAGCTGGACGTGGGGGCTCAATCCCATGACTCTGGGTTCATGATCTGAGCTGAAATCAGGAGTTGGATGCTCAATTGACTGAGCCACCCAGGTGCCCCTGGTCTTGTGGCTTTAAAACTAGCTCATGGCAAATTGTAGCACAGCACAAAATTAGAAACTGGTCTTTTTGTGAACAAATTTTTAGTAAAGTAGTCTCGGTGCACAACGTGGGGCTTGAACTTATGACCCTAAGATCAAGAATCACATGCTCTATTGGCTGAGCCGCCCAGGTGCCCCTATTACAAATATTTCTTTCTCTTTTTCTTTTTTCTTTCTTTGTTTGAGCTTTTATTTATTTATTTTGAGGGTAGGGGAGGAAAAGAGAATCCTAAGCAGGCTTTGCACTACATTTCTTAAGTTTGTTTGTTAGGTGACATTTTGACTTGTTATTTGTGTAATGTAGTTGTCTTGCTTTGGGAAAATATGATTTAAAAATGCATTTATGAAATAAATAGTTCTTATAGTTTTTTCTTAAATTTATGGCATAAAAGGAAATAATATATATGGTAGCATATTGAAAATGGTAATATATACCTTTGAAATACAGATCTATAATGTCAAGTAATAAAACATTAGCATACAAATTAAATCTTCTCTAAAGGGAAGGTTAATCTTCCCTCCACTCTTAATCCATTTGCCCAGTATCTTGGGAGTTGAGTGGTGAAGAAGAGAGCTACTGTGCAGATACTGACCTTCCTGTAGTCAGAGGATATGTGGCTAGGGAGGGAATAATGGAAGTGTGATAGGTGGACATCTCTGGTTGAGAAATTGATTATATTAAGCAAATTAATTGAAAGAGCAAATAAATAAAAGTATTGAAGATAATGGAAGCCAGGTTTCTCCCTGAGAAGAGCTTACAAATGTAAAAGGGGAAAGTCTAGAAAGAAACTTAAGATGTGAACTTAGAGTTTGAAGCCTTGGTGTATATGCATATGTTATTATTTATGCACAGATGAAGAAAAAGGTATAGATGTGTGTATTTATATGTATGTGTGTGTGTGTATATATATATATATATATATATATATATATATAGTCATATATTTCCTACTCTTTGCTGAGAGGACTCAGTAGCTATGAAACCCTAGTAACAATGAGCACACCTAATGCCCAGATCTTGGTTTCTAAATTCTGTCCATGACTAAAAGGAGTCAGGGCCTCTTGGAGAATGGCTAATTTTAGAGTCAGGGAGGGAATTGTAAGATGAATTTAGAGATGTATTTTGTGTCAGAAAGCAAGGAAGTATTCAAATGATGGGGACATGTCAAAAAGGTACAGGAACCACTTTCAAAGGGCCCTTGATTGCCAAAATCTTGTGTAATTTGAGCAACAAAATAGGATAATGGATTTTAATCTATAGTATAAAGTAAGAATCCATGAGTCTACACTGATAAAGTTAATGAGTAAATGAATTCTGACAAGGGGATGGAGGGAAAGCTCTTTAAAGTAGAATGCCAACTAAAAAATGTAGAAGGAATGATGGGATTAGGTAATCACCATCACAATGGTATTAGATCAAAGCAAAAATTGTCAATGGATACTAATGGCTGGTGGATGGTGAAAGTTTGATGAGGAACAGAATATTGGTGAATTATCAGAATAATTCCACATTGAGTCTAATCAAACACAAAGGGAAAAGTAGTGAGTTTATTGAGGAGAAACCTGGCAAATACCAAATTGACCAAGTGATGAAAGTTACACATAATGATGGGTAAGTAAAGTATGCACAGTATCATTTGTATATATTCTTTCCAAGAATGTGAGTATTAGGAGCATCAGATCCAGATTGAGGGTCATCCTAGAGAACTAAAGGCCTGTACGCTTTACAGTAAAGGGCATGAAAGACGGGGGAAGGCCTAGCGAACGATTCCAGATTGAGGGAGACTTAGGAGATCTGAGAACTAAATGCAGTATATGTTCGTGGATAGGATCCTGTATCTGGTTCAAGTTTGAATGTGTTTGTGGATTGGCTCTGCATTGTATCAGTGTCTTGATGATTACAGGTTTGTAATAGGTCTTGAACTCCGGGAGTGTGATGACTCCAGCTTAGGTTTTCATTTTCAAGATTGCTTTGATGATCCGGGGTCTTTTCTGTTTCCATACAGATTTTAGGATTATTTGTTCTAGCTCTGTGAGGAATGCTGGTGTTATTTTGATAGATATTGCATAGATGGCTTTGGGTAGTTGTCGACATTTTAACAATGTTTGTTCTTCCAATCCAGGAGCATGGAATACTTTTCCATTTTTTTGTGTCTTCAATTTCTTTCATAAGCTTTCTGTAGTTTTTTCACCTCTACAGTGTAAAAACTAAGTGTATAGATTTTTCACCCCTTTGGTTATGTTTATTCCTAGGGGAACTATTTTAAAACAAAAACAAGAAACTATATGCTTTTCTGATTATAAATTTAATCTTTCTAACTCCCTTGTTTCTCTATTTACAGATTACTACATTTGCTATACTTGTAGAGAGATTCATTTAGTAAATATTTATTGGTTGAATACTTTGTTAAGAATTTAAGAATTCTATATTTTTAATAGGGATAATAAATACATTTTTAACTGTCTTTCAGAAAGCTGAAGTTGATGGTAGTTTAAGTGATAGCCACGTGTCTCCTCCAGCCAAACGCACTTTGAAACAACCTGATTCTGTTTGCAAAGACAAATCAAAATCACGAAGTACTGGTCAGAGAGAGGAATGGAATATATCAACCGGACAGGCCAGGTGAGAAGTGAGAACTCACCCATTGTTTTTTCATGAATTATTTGATATAATTCAGGGCTCATATCAGTGCTAATTTTCTTAAATTATAAAGCCACTAGTGTCTAGAAATACTTGTAAATTGTTTAAACTTATAATTTTTGTTATGTTTTAATTTTCTCTAAATATGCCATAAAATATATTTGTTTTATAAAAATATATAGTATTTCATAGAAGGCATTATTTTTAAAATAATAAGAATTTGGATAGATCTTGAATATGTATACATATTTATACTGAAACTTTAAAGACATTTGATTAGAATTATATTTTATTTGAAAGTAAAATCTCCCTTTCTAAAATTATTAAATATTACATTTGAATTGATACACCAAAATGAAGTAAAATAAAAACTAATTTTTAAGGAAACCTTTCATTTGGCTGTTTTCAATTTAAATTTACTTTGTGTCTGTTCAGTATGTATCAGGAAAACTTCTTTTTACACACTTACCATCATATGGTAATAACTTGTTGTAGATAGGATAGGCACACACACAGAAAAGATTTAAACTTTGAACTCATAAGTTTTAGCTTCTCTTTTCTCCAGTCTTTGATGTAGAAGTGTTAATGATGTGCGGACTACAAACAAAAGTAAAAGGGAAATCCTTTGGTTTCTTTCCTCCTTCAAGTACCAAAAAATTATTTGATTTTATATGTGTAGGTAAATTCTGGATACTGTTACTCTTTAATGAAAAAAATCTTTGGTGTTTTATAGACTTTCATAGGCAGTATATATTTACTATTGTCTAAAGAGTCTGTATTTCAATATGTTCCAGAAGATGAACCACTTTTTTAATTTGCATTGTCTGGGAGCTAAGTAGGAAAATCTTGAATCATAGCCTGTTGATTTTTTTTTTTTTCTTTTTCTTTTCCCATACTCATTCATCATCTGTGAGATAAAACAGATCCAGGTATTACTAAAATGAGTACTGCCCTTTAATTACACTTACAGACTTGATCTACCTGTTGTAATCTGTATCCTATATTTATTAAATGAGTGAATCAGGCTTCTTTTTCTAGATAAATGTTTCTTTAAAATGTTCTTTTAGTGTTCAAGTTTGACCTTTAACTGTAAGATAATTTTAAGTTTGTGTGTATAGCAGACTAGATTTTCTAATTCTTAGCCACTCCAAAGGCCTTTATGTAAATTTATCTTGATCATGTCTTTTGTTAAAAAAAAAGTTCTCAAAAATTGTTTTGGGGAGAGAATTTTACTTCCATTTAGGTACCTCAGTGTGATACTCCTTTTTTTATTTTATTTTATTTTATTTTTTTTTATTTTTTTTAATACTCCTTTTTTTAAAAAAAATACTAAGTATATCTTGAATAAAAATCTTGAGAAATAATGAATACCAACAGAATTTATTATTCATATTTTGGCAGAAAAGCAATATAAAAAGTTTTTTTTCAGTCAAATTTTCATCTAGAAATGTAAGTGCTACAGTGTTTGAATATTTTGGTGGTTTTTAAAATTTTTTTTCAATGTTTATTATTATTATTATTTTTTTTGATAGAAAGAGACAGAGTGTGAGTGGGAGACAGGCAGAGAAAGAGGGAGACACAGAATCTGAAGCAGGTTCCAGGCTCTGGGCTGTCAGCACAGAGCCTGATGCAGGGCTCAAACTCATGAGCTGTGAGATCATGACCTGAGCTGAAGTCAGACAATCGACTGAGCCACCCAGGTGTCTCTATATTCTATTCAATAGAATTGAATTTTAAGGAAACCTTGTAAATACTTTAGATTTTGAAGTAGTGTAAAAAGGAAAATCAGGATTTATTTGAAGGTTTGTGTTTGTTTTTATGTCCTGAGCCTAAGAATCCTGATTCCTTTATTTTGATAATCTATGGTCTTATGAGCATATAAAGTAAAATTATTAAAGTTCTTTCACAAAAATACTGTGCTACAAATATAATTCATTTGGGGGAAGAGTGAATATAGATAAGAATTAGCATTAACTATGAAAAATAATGAATCCCAAGGGACTTTGTAATGACTACTAAATTTTTTAAAGAAATTACTGTTGATTGGTGAAACATTTATTTATTTATTTATTTATTTATTTATTTAAAATGTTTATTTATTTTGAGAGAGAGAGAGGGAGAGGAGGAGAGCTAGAAAGAGAGGGAGAGAGAGAATCCTAAATAGACTCTCCTGACAGCACAGAGTCAGATACATGACTCGATCCCATAAACTGAGATCTTGACCTGAGCCAAAATTAAAAGTCAGATGCTTCACTGACTGAGCTACCCAGGTGCTTTCAGGAGCTTTCATTTAAACAGTGAACTTACCTAGTTACATTTCAAGTGATTAACTTTTGGAAACTTTGATTCAAGAGAGTTTTTAGGCTTATGTATTATTATATATGCAGGCCAACTCTTAAAATACTAGTATTTTCTCTTTCCATATCCAGATATTTAATATTCTGTATCCTTTTTGTTCATTTTCATCTTTATAAAGAGAAATGGTAATGGAAAAATGACAATAACCTGTGATTGTAAGATAATTGCAGTCACACGCTCTACCCCTGTGATTGTAAGATAATTGGATTGATTGAAGAATAAATTTTTATTTTTACCTTTTAAAACATCTTTCAGGGGCACCTGGGTGGCTTAGTCGGTTAAGCGCCTGACTTCGGCTCAGGTCATGATCTCACGGTTCGTGGGTTCGAGCCCCGCGTCGGGCCCTGTGCTGACAGCTCAGAGCCTGGAGCCTGTTTCAGATTCTGTGTCTCCCTCTCTCTCTGACCCTCCCCTGCTCATGCTGTCTCTCTCTCTCTCTCTCTCTCTCTCTCTCAGAAATAAATAAAACATTAAAAAATTTAAAAAAGAAAACCATCTTTCATTAGCAATGAAGTAAAAGCCAAGTAAGCATTGTCTTCTTCAGAGGGACAAAGGCTTATATTGTGGTTTTTCTCCAGTGATGTTGCTGTTGTTCAGAAAGTTTTAGATTTCTTTTGTAGAATGATTCCAGGGTTAGCATCTTATTTTTTTGAATAATTTAAATATGTAAAATTTCAGTCATTTGGTTTTTGCATATGCTAAAGTTCATTTGGAGCCAAGACTTATAAATAAATAAACTCATCATACTGAGTTAGTATTATGTTGGGTTCAAAGTCAGAGTAGATTTATGAAGTAGTAAAATTGACTTTTCTCTGTCATTTTAAGTGGGTTCTCAAGAATTTCACATGTATAATCTTCCAAGAAAAGACTTGGTAACATACCAATTTTGTTACTTTATAATGTACTTTGTATATAGAGATGCTAAAAATGAAGTACTTTCCAAGAGGTGTAGTGTATTAGTTTTGTTGTTTTCTGGGAAAAAAGGAGGGCTGGAGTTTTTTTGTTTTTGTGTTTTTGACAGTATGTGTACATGTAACAGCTTGAGTTTTTGTGCATATCCTTTAATCATCCGAGCCATGACCTTTATTAGGCAGGAGCATATATAATTAACATTTAATATTTAACATTTAAAATTTAACACAAAGAGTACTGGAGTAATCAAAAACATAATATTTTTGTTAAGAAAATTTGTGCAAACAGGAGTGGGAGATATAGTCATCCACTTATGGAATGAATAAGTCATGGGGATAAAAGGTACACTATAGAGAATATAGTCAATGGTGTTGTAGTAGTGTTGTGTGGTCACCAATGGTTGCTACACTAGTAATGAGCACAGCATAACATATAAACTTGTCCAAACACAATGTTATGCCCCTGAAACTATTATAATATTGTGTATCAAGTATACTTCCATTAAAAGAAAATTTTGTGCAAACCATACAGAAGATAATTATCTATTTACTTTTTTCTGAATGTCCTTTACCTTTTTCTTAATTTTTGAAAATAATAATTGTTGGGCATTTTAGAAATACCTTAGTGAGTTTACATCGACACTTCTTTTATTATGTAGCAATTTAGTTTTTGTTTTCACAAAGTATACTGTGAGTTTTTTAAGTCTTGATGTTTTGATAATCATTTAGGTATCTTCCTACTGAATTAACATTTCTTTTCCTCCACCCAAAGGGGAGAATTGTACAGTGACCATTTCGAGAAATTAGCTAAGTTTTCATTTGTTGGGTTAGAATGTGAAATTAATATAATTGAGAAATTCTTAAATAGTTTTGGTGTTCAAAGACTTTTTTCTTCTTACAGAATATTGTTTGAGTAAATTTGTCTACGTTTTGAATTTTATTTTGTTAACCAAAACCAGTAATAAATGTCTGTAATCATTGCTGCTTGTAATAAATTATAATATCCGTTAAATTTATACTACATGTTAAACTTAAGTTTAACTCTCTCCTTTGGACTTTATGGAGTTGAAGACCGAGTAAGTTCAGTTTGTAATCTGTTATTAAACCTTTTCTTGAAGTAATAAAATGACTCTTAACTAGTATATTTTATTAATTGGTGCATTACCAATCTTAGAGTAAAATAAATGTTGTCTTTACTATTAAAAAAGTAGTATTGTTGATATTTTAAAGATTAAAGTGACTCCACCAGTATTGCGTTTCTTGCTTCTTTAAATGAATGTTGATGTGTTTGCATATTAAATATAATTGTGTTCTAGGTTAACTTCTCAGCCTGGTGCTACATTACCAAACGGACATAGTAGCTTATGTGAGTATTCTGTTATGAAACTGGTTAGTATTGAAATTCTTACTAATGTTGTTAGAGTAAGTGTTAAAGTGGGGTAAAACAGTGATTTACTAGTAAGTTCAGCATACCGTTGGAAATGACTGGATTTCAGTCATAGTGAATACTTAAATAATTGTTAAACATTGAGAAATCAGTACAAAGTAAATAATTTAAATTATTATGATGGATTATAAACAGTTATCAAAATTTTAGATTATTGGAGATAAAAACTGTTTAAGAGGTTATATTAAATTTTTTGTAGTCTTTTAAAAGAATTTTTGATTATTTTTTCTTTTTTTCTTTTTATACTCTATACTTTGAAATATAAATCTCTCTCTTCTTGTAGCCCTTCGAAGCCATCCCCTTCGAGGGGAGAAGAAAGGAGATGGGGACCTTTCTTGTATAAATGGTGACATGGAAGTCAGAAAAAGTTGTCGTTCCAGGAAAAACAGATTTGAAAGCGTGAACCAGAGTTTGTTATTTGATCAGCTAGTAAATAGGTATGAATGCTTATGCTGTAAGCAGTTTCATTTAATTAATTTATTCACTTGATTTTTCAGATTTCAAAATTTCAAAATCAGATTTTAGATTTGAAAAAATCATTTATTTTTAAGCTTGTTTTGTTTCATTTATTTATTTTTAATGTTTTTAAAAATTTATTTTTGAGGCAGAGGCAGAGCATGAGATGGGGAGGAGCAGAGAGACAGAGAGACACAGAATCCGAAGCAGGCTGTCATCAGAGAGCCCGACACAGGGCTTGAACCCACGAACATGAGATCATGACCTGAGCCAAAGTTGGAGGCTTAACCACTGAGCCACCCAGGCGCCCCTAAGCTTGTTATGTTTTAAAAAATAAGCACTGAGTTAGCAATAAATGCCATTATTTTAAAGATTAATTTGAATTAACAGTCGTTAGCAATGATTATCAGTTTCTAGTCATTTTATTAGTTTTAATAGTTTATGTAAATAGCTAAATTTTCTCCTCCTTTTTAAGCTCTTGTTTGTAAATAATATAAAAAATATTTTTTTCTGTTTTAATTGTTCCTTATTTTTTGTTCCTTTATTATTCGTTAATTTGTTTTTGACAATTTTCAAGCAACATTAAGTTCCGTTATTAATATGTAGTAAGTATAGTTTTGCTTAGTCAAGATTTTGAATTAAAGGTTTTCTGAGACTGGGTATATGGGATATAGCTAGTGAATGAGCCTCGCAGATTGCTCAGTTTCTACATGCAATGAAATTTTTCTTCTCAGATGATAAATTATCCTGCTTACACCTTGCAGTGGCCTTGAGAGGGGAGGTCAGTACAATCCCATTTTACAAGAGAAGAAATTATATTCTATAGTGGTAATGTCAAATTTGAGTATTAGTTGTTATTTGTTAAGTACCTAGATCATTATCTGGACACAGAATAAGTACTATATGAATGTGTTTAAAAGGTAAAATATGGTAATGCTAGCCTGCATTTCATGGAGGTCAGTGTTCTCTAATTTTTAAAAATATCTGTTCAGTTAACCTTATGTTGGCTTTAAACCTTTTACTGATTCTTTATCCTAGAAATTTTCTTAACACCATCTTCAAATAAAAAGATTGAATTACTATTTTGTTTTCATTGCCTTGGATCTAGTAGTCAGTTATTTATAGTGGCATTGTGGATTTAAATGTTTGGAGTTATGAGCAAAAGTTCTATTTTGTAATTTAAAAAAGTTTTTAATTAAAAAAATTTTTTAATAGTTTATTGTCAAGTTGGTTTCCATCTAACACCCAGTGCTCATCCCCACAAGTGCACATCACCCCCTTTCCTTCTCCCCCTATTTTGTAAGTTTTAGATATATTCAGGTAGAAGATGTTCTGGATTTTTTGGGGGGCGTTATCTTCTGATGGCGCTGATTCAGAAAGATATTTACTTAGAATGCTATCTACAGTTACATATCACATAATTTAATTATGCTTTGATGAAGAGTGCTCTTTCATGTGTACACACGTGGTCTCACAATTGTCTGAATCCTAGTTTTGTTATGTGATTGTAGTACTGCTGAAGCTGTACTGCAGGAAATGGACAACATTAACATCAGACGGAATCGTCGGTCAGGAGAAGTAGAACGACTTAGAATGTGGACAGATACAGAATTTGTGAGTATATTTACTTTAACAACCTTTGCAAATATTTTTTATTTTGGTTGAGAGCTTCAGAGGGAGAGTGAGCAACAGCATTGGATTTTCTCGAATTAACAGAATTGTTCCTTTGTTTCTACTTTAGTTTGGGATTTTATGTTTTTTTCTTCTGTCTTTACTCTATTTTCCACAACCTTTCCCCAAAGATTCCCTACACTTTTGTCAGAACAGTTTACTGATTCTGTTACTTTTTTAATCTGAACCTTTAATGTTCTTTGTATTGTGTACTGAATTAATTAAAAACACCTTGACCTTCATAATCGGGATTCAACTTTATCCTCTCACACACTATTGCCCAAGTATAAACAAATCATCCTTGTTCCTTTATCATTTACTTCTGGTAATATTTTTGGTTAGGGACTGTTGCAGTCCTACTTTTGTTTCATGGTTCGTCTCAAATGTTGCCTGCCTTCCTGTCCTTAGCAACAAGAGGATCATCTCTCTGAATTCTAGAATACATTCTACCTTTCTTTTTTTTTTAAGCGTTTTTTTAATGTTTATTTTTTTTTTTGAGAGAGAGAGAGAGAGTGCACCCAAGGGAGGGGCAGAGAGACAGGGAGAGATTGAATCCCAAGAGATTGAACCTGAGCTGTTAGCGCAGAGCCTGATACAGGGCTCAGACCTGTGAACCGTGAGATCATGACCTGAGCTGAAATCAAGAGTTGGACACTTAACTGACTGAGCCACCCAGGCGCCCTTACTTACATTGTACCTTTCTTTATGGCATTTAACTTGTTTTACTTTTTTTTTTTTAAAACGTATTATTTATTTTTGAGAGAGAGATAGAGACAGCATGAGCAGGGGAGGGTCAGGGAGAGAAGGAGACACAGAATCTGAAGACAGGTTCCAGGCTCTGAGCTGGCTGTCAGCACAGAGCCTGACGTGGGGCTTGAACCCGTGAACCGTGAGATCATGACCTGAGCCGAAGTCGGACGCTCAACTGACTGAGCCACCCAGTGCCCCTGTTTTACTTTGTTTTATAGTTACCTGTGACTTATCTTACTCCATCCTACTAGACTGTAATTTGCTTGAGGGAGAAAGTGTGTTCATGGCACTGTAGTTTTAAATTTTCAAGTATTTTGTAAGTTTGTTTTATTTTTCCTCTTGACCATTTTTCATAAATCTGTGTCTTGGAAATAGGTGGTCAGTAAATTTCAAGAGTGGTCCTGTCCCATTAGGTTAATGATATTACAGTCAGGAATAAATTCCATGTTAATATTTGACAGAGTTTTCTCTTTAAAAGGAAAACATGGATATGTATTCAAGAGTGAAAAGGCGAAGAAAGTCATTGAGAAGAAATAGTTATGGGATACAAAATCATCATGAAGTATCTACTGAGGGTGAAGAAGAAGGTTTGTAAAGCACTTTATGAAGTAAATACTACAAAGTTCAGTGGGGAGGGAAGAAAATTATATACAAGTAATACATGTGTAAGATTGCTGAGTGTGTGATTTTTGGCTTTAGGGTCTCTATTATGTAATTTGGAATAATTTTTATTTGATTGGAATTCTGAGTTTGTACCTTCATTTGGAAAAATGCCTTTCACTATACTTTATTATGTAATTTATCTCATTAGTAGCAATTGGTCCTGTGACCTAATCTGGTGTGACATTTGTCATGAGCTGATTTGTTGCTAGGTGAGGCCTCTTTTGTGTTTCTAATTGGAAGTCTCTATCCACAGTCATCTTCTACCCATAATCTCTGAATCTCTTGCTTATTTGGATCCCAAATTTAGTTACCAACTGAGGAGTAAGTGGTAAAGTTTAGAGAAAGAGGGACTGCTAATTCTAGTGGAGGGGGTGGTACTGATCTTTGCCAAGACTTGTCTGGGTTCCGAACTCAAAGAGCCCAGCTGAATTTGTAGGGCTGCAGCTAGGAACATGATGAAAGTACATTTGCCCCAAAGATTATAAATCAGTGACTAGTACATCTATAGGATTTGATTCTGTAGGTGTTAATCTTTATTGAAGTGGATTTTCAGATTTGGTGTATTGTAAATGAAGGATAGGTTTATTTTACAAGGAAATCTTACTAGTTCGTACTATGTGTATAACTTGGAGATGAATGGGTTTATTTCTCAAATTTTCTAATTAATATATTATTAGCAAGTTTTGAAGAGCTGATATTTCTAATGAAGGTGCTTTATTGAGCAAATATTATTGTTGTTACAGCTAGAGCCTCTATATTGCTTCCTTTGGAGAAAATCAGTATAGGTGAGACAGATTTATAATGTGATTTTTGCCTTTTCATTAACTGAACACCTTTGTAGAGTTTTCAGAGTAGATTTGCCATGTTTAGAATTTCTTCCCATAATAAATAGTGTGTTATTGTGCAGATGTTTTTCAAAAAGCAATATTTTTTGAAGGTTTAAACAGATTTATCTGGGTAAGAGTAACTTAGATAATGTATTTGGTGATTTTTCTCTAGAACTTAATAAAGATACTTATAAATTTAGAATAAACTTTCAGATGTCAGGACTAAAATATAAAGTCATTTGCATTTTTAGTTTCCTATTTCACTCAGTGTCACTAGTGGTTTTACATTTTTTCCTGTGCTTTAATATGGTTTTGTTATGTTGATAATTCCTGTGGTTAAAAAGTTAATCACAAAGTATATTGCATTTGGGTACCATAAATCAATAAATTTTCATCAGACTTATTTAATTAATTTTTAAAAAGTTTTTATTTTTAAGTAATCTGTACACCCAGTGTGGGGCTTGAACTCACAAACCTGAGATCAAGAGTCATATGCTGTACTGTCTGAGCCAGCTAGGTGCCTCAGACTTTAATTTTAAACTGTAAATGTTGTCATATTGTAGCTATAACCAAACCACTTTTTAAAAATAAGCTTTTAGATTTATGTACATTATAATTTATTTTTAAATAAGCTTTGGGATTTATGTACATTTTTATTTTCAAGTGTGTAGTTAGGTGAATTATAAAGTGATCACTTATGTCAAGAAATAAACATATTAACACCCCGGAAATCTGCCTCATGCTCCCTCCCAATTCCTACCTGCATTTTCCTACCAAAATAGAACTAATTTGTGCTTATCTATTGTCAGCAGGCCTAACAAACCGTTGTATTGCCAACAAAAATTGCTCTTGCTGTAACATTAGTAATTATCTTGTAAGCATATTTTTTTTTTTTGAACTACCAAGTGGTATTTGAATACTAACCTTATTCACTGGTGGATAACTGGGCATTAAAATGAAGTTTGCTGTAGTAAAAATTTGATTTGTCTTCTATTATACCTTTGTATGACCAAAGAGATTGAAAGATCATAAGTATACCTATTATTTAGCATAGAACTATATTATTTGTAGGAAAGGTTTTTTATTTTTTCTTTTAAATCTGTCTAGGTTGGTTTTTAATTGTGTTGGTATATACTGTATCATAAAATGTTGACACTTTTAAATGTTACTTGTGCAGAAAGAGTAAAAGATAAAATGTAAATATTCAGTTCTAGAGTGAACCAATCCTTGTGGATTAAAACAGTTCTCTTTTTCTTTTGTGTGGGGGAAACTAGAATCTCAAGAGGAGGATGGAGATATAGAAGTTGAGGAGGCAGAAGGAGAAGAAAATGATAGACCTTACAATTTGAGACAAAGAAAAACAGTGGATAGATATCAAGCACCTCCGATAGGTAAGAAATGCTGAATAATTTCTTTTTGTAGTTGAGTAGCTTATTCTATTCCACCCCTTTAAAAATATTAGTGTTGTGGAGTTTAGAGATTTTATTTATGTATTTATTACTCTTTATTTTTTTTAAGTTCATTTATTTATTTTGAGAGAGAGAGAAAGTGCAAGCAGGGGAGAGGCAGAGAGAAAGATCCCAAATAGGGTCCACACTTCCAGTGTGGAGCTCAGCATGGGGCTTGATGTGGGGTTTGATACAGGGCTTGAACTCAGGAACCATGAGATTGTGACCCAGGCCGAAGTTGGATGCTTAAGTGACTGAGCCACCTAGGCGCCCCAGTTTACTAGTTTTTAGTATATTTACAGGGGTTATGCAGACATCACCACTGTTTAATTCCAGAACATTTTTTACTTCTACAGTTTCATCCCCCTGGCCCTTGGCAACCACTAATGTGCCTTCTGTCTGTAGGTTTGCCTCTATGTGGACTTTTGTGTCTAGCTTCTTTCACTTAGTGTAGTGTATTTAAGGAAGGACCAAGATATTTGTATGAGATATTAATACTCAAACTCCTGTGTTCGAAAATGATTTTTGATTCTCTGGAAGGGGTGAATCAGAGTTACTACGGCAGGCACCCTAGTATATGCAGCCTAGGTATGCAGACCTTATTCCAGTGAGGAGTCATTATCACAGATAGCCCTGTTAATAATGGGGAAGATGTGTAAAGATAGAAAAAGGATTGTGAATCATTTTTTTTTAGATTAAAAAAATATTGAGGTATGATTGAAATACAGTCTGCTGCAGTTGTACATATTTAACATGTAGTTTGGCAAGTTGGAAATACCCTAGATATATACCTATGAAACTGTCCATTACCATCAAGGTAATGAACATGTTTATCAGCCCCCAAAATACCTTCCTGCCTGTTTGTAATCTCCTCCTAACCTTCTTGTGCCATCTGTATCCCAATCTTGAGGCAGCCACTGATCTGATCTGCTTTCTCTAACCATAGATTAGTTTATACTTTTTTTGAATTTTATGTACAATATATGCTCAGTATTGTCTTTCACTCACCATAATTCTGAGACTCATCCATGTTGTTGAATATAACAGTAATGTGTTTCTTCTTGTACTTAGTAGCATTCCATTGTATGGGTATACCATAATTTGTTTATACATTCATTTGTGGGTAGATGTTTGGATTGTTGACATTTTTAGTGTTTTGCTATTATAAATAAAGTTGTTATGAATTCATGTGCAAAACTTTGGGCATATTTTTTCATTTTTCTTGTAACACTCAGGAGTGGAATGGCTGGGTTTTATGATTAAGTGTACAAACTGTTTTCCTAAGTGATTGTACCACTTGATTCTCCCTAAGTCTATGAGAGTCCAGTCACACCATTCTCTTGCCAACACTTGGTACAATCAGTTTTTTGAAATTAATTTTAATACATAGCTATTGTAGTTTTAATTTACATTTCCTCAGTGATGTTGAGGATCTTTATGTGCTGATTTGCCAGTGTTATCTCTGGTGAAGTGTCTCTTCAAGTCTCTTGCCCATTTTTTCCAATTGAGTTGTTTATTTTAATATTGAGTTTTTTGAGAGTTCATTATGTAGTCTGGATATCAGTCCTTTATCAGCGCTGTGATTTGCATATATTTTCTCAGCCTGTAGCGTATTTCTTTTATTTTCTTAAAGTGTCTTTCAAAGAGTAGAATTTGTAATTTTGATGAACTCTAGTTTATTAATTTTTTTTATGGGTTATGCTTTTGGTGTGATAACTGAAAAATCTTTGTTTAACCAAAAGTCACAAATACTTAATTTAACATCTTTTTAGAGTGTGTATTTGCAACTTAAGTTATTACCACAAAGTTTTTATTTTTGTTGTGCTCCTTCTAGATATTATTTGGAACTTGAACACCTGTGACTAGCTTCTATTCAGAAAGTTAACAGAAGTAATTTCTACTCTTTTGATACATCAATATATCAATTTGTTATTAGTTATTTCTGTGTCATCCTTTTTTTTTCTTTAAGTCCCAGCTCATCAAAAAAAGAGAGAAAACACGCTGTTTGATATTCACAGATCTCCAGCAAGAAGAAGCCATATCAGGTATGTTTTGTTGGTTTTCAAAAGGAGGAAATAATTATAATCTGTCATTTAGATATATCCTTTAAATAATACATAACAAAATGCCTTATAATTAGAATATAGGTATTGATGGTGTTAACAATGTCAATGAGGGACTAAGTGGTATCTTTCTTTTTTAATTAGTGATTAGCAGTAACTATCTTACATGTGACTATTCATTTTCTGGTTCATTTTGCTTGGAATAGTTACTCTTTTAACAATTATGTTCCCCAATGCTACATAGCTCTCTGCTCTCTTGGTAGAGTTGAATCTAAACCACTCACATTACTTTCATTTGAAATACTGGTTCAGTTAGTCTTTCCTACCTTTCCCCCGCTTTGCCCTTTCTTTTATACATAGTTACAAAAGACACTGGTTTTGAAACTGTCTTGTCTATTACATTTTCCGAAAAGGTAGTATATTCAGCATGAATGTACAATTAATAAAAATTTTAAAATAGACATGAAAAGCTTTTTTTTTCTAGTTTTAGTAGTCTCTCACTCTCTCATAGTAACATGAGTATATTCTTAGAGAATATGTTCATATATATGTATGTGTACATACACATCCATTGTTAGCCCTTCTTTTTACACAAGATATACTGTGCACATTGTCCTATACCTTGTTTTCTCACTTAATTCATTTTAACTGTCTTATTTCTATACAGTGAAATTTCACACTTATGTTTATAGTTAACCTATTTATACATATACTATCGTTTTTAAATTAGTCCTTTATTGAGAGATTTTCAGTCATTACTATTACAAAATGTGATATAATGAGTAGCCTTCACAATCTTCATTTTACATGTTTACAAATGTATTTGTAGGATAAATTCACACAAGTGGGACAGAGTTAAAGGGAATTTGAGGTTGTAACTTTGATTAGTTTGCAAACCACCTAGCAGTGTATGAGAGGGCCTATTTTCCCACGTTCCTGCAAACAAAATGTATTCTTAAGCTTTAGCATTTTTGTCAGTCTGAGAGTTGAAAAGGAGATCTTGGTTTATTTTAAATTTCTGTATCTCTTATCAGAGTATTTTTTCATATGTTTAAAGCCATTTGTTTTTTCTTTTTTCTGAAACATGTGCAAAGTTTGCCTATTTTTCTAATAGATTGTTACTCTTTTATATACTTTAGTTTTTTATATACTGAAGAGATTAGTCCTTTGTCATAAATTGCCAGTCTTCTTGGTTCAAACTTTGTCTTTTTTTTTTTTTTTACCTTGTTTTTAGTTGTCTTTACCAGAAGGTTTTTATTTTTATGTTGTCAAACTTACCAGTCTATTTTTTTCAGGGCTTTTAGATTTGATTTGATTTTTTAAAAAATATTTTTGAAAGAGAAAAGAGTGGACACACAAGAGCAGGGGAGAGGCAGAGAGAGGAAGATAGAGAACCCCAAGCAGGCTGCGTACTGTCAATGGAGTCTGACACAGGGCTCAAACTCATGAGCTGTGAGATCATGACCTGAGCTAAAATCAAGAGTCAGACGCTCAACTTGCTGAGCTACCCAACGCCCTGAGATTCTAAATCATAGTTCAAAAAACCTACCCAAATCCAAAGTTTTCAAGGTCATCTTTGTTTATTTTTATGGTATCATTTTTTATTTTCAAATTTTGATCCATTTGAATTTTAACCTGGTGTAAGATTTGTAGTACAGATCCAACTTTTTTTCACCAATGGAAAAGAGAATTTTCCCAAACTCAATTATTGAATCAGTTCATGATTTCTTCATGATTATTTTGTCAAATTTATCATATATCAAATTATATGTTTTGGTCTGCTTCTAAATATTTGTTCCATTCATATTGAGTACTGTTTAACTTGTTGAGGCTTTTTAATATGTTGTAATCTTTATAATTGCTACTCCCTTAAATTTTCCTTTGAATGTGATTTTCCATTATTTGTGTTATTTTTGTTTTTAATGTTATTTAGTTATGTCTTAAAGTGTTAACTGTGGTTCTTGGAAATTTATTGTTAATGTTTTTCTTATGTAACTTACCTTTCCTGTTGCTTTTGTGGAAGATTCCCTTGTCCTTTTTTTTCATTTTCCCATTATATTTTCTCTCTGATTTGTATTTAAATACAGTTAATCTCAGCATATTAATTTTGTGTACCCCTCTTCTTCATTGGGGATTCTCCTAGCATGTCCATGGTATGATTGATGCTTAAGAAAGATGTATTTTTGTCATATTAAAGATTTATTTTTTATTTTATTTATTTTAAAAATGTTTATTTATTTTGAGAGAGAGAGCATGCATGAGCCGGGGGGGGGGGGGGGCGAGAGAGACACAGAGAGAGTGATTGAATCCCAAGCAGGCTCTGTGCTATCAGTGCCAGAGCTGGAACTCACAAACTCGCGAACCGTGAGATCATGACCTGAGCCGAAATCGAGAGTAAGGCCACCCACGTGCCCCAAAGATTTATGTGCTTTTTAAATCATTGAATTTTCTCTTTTAAAAAAAAATTTTTTTTTAATGTTTATGTTTTGAGAGACAGAAGAGAGATGGAGCTTGAGCGGGGGAGAGGCAGAGAGAGAGGGAGACACAGAATCCGAAGACAGGCTCCAGGCTCTGAGCTGTCAGCACAGAGCCCATCATGGGGCTCGAACCCACAAACCGCTAGATCATGACCCAAGCCAAAGTCAGACACTTAAATGACCAAGCCAGCCAGGTGCCCCAAATCATTGAATTTTCTTTAAAACAAAACAAAACAAAACAAAACAAAACAAAACAAGAATAGTAACCGAATGCTTTCTTTTTAAAAAATAATTTTTTTAATGTTTATTTTTAAGAGAGAGAGAGACAGCATGAGCAGGGGAGGGCCAGAGAGAGAGGGAGACATAGAATCCGAAGACAGGCTCCCGGCTCTGAGCTAGCTGTTACCACAGAGCCTGATGTGGGGCTCAAACCCACGAACCGTGAGATCATGACGTGAGCTGAAGTCGGACACTTAACCGACTGAGCCACCCAGGCGCCCCTTGAATGCTTTCAAATAAATTGTTAAGTTCTATGGAGATATTTTATCAATAGGATTTATTGTTTTGATAGATTTCTTAATGTTGAATTTTTTAGATGCAAGTGCTTTTAGTTTTCTGATTTTGTAATTAATCTCTGTATTTGTTGCACTGTGATTAGAGAATGTCGTTTCCACTATTGTACTTACTGACGTTTCCTTGTGGTTGAATATATAGTCTATTTTTATAACTGTTCCATAAGCATTTGAAAAGGAATATTCTTTATTTTTATTTTTTATTTTTATTATTATTATTTTTAATGTTTCACAAATAGTTTATTGTCAAGTTGGTTTCCATATAACAACCCGGTACTCATCCCCACAAGTGCCCTCCTCCATGCCCATCTCCCCCCTCCCCCCAAATATTCTTTATTTTTAAAGCACAAATTGAAACTCAATTAAGTATGCTATTTATTACATTTTTAAGGTTGCCTTTATTATTACACTTTTGTTCATTTTGTATTCTTTACCTTTTTATCACTTTTGATGTGGACGGAAAGGGTGAATTAAAGTCTTCCTAGTACGAGGATGTCTATATCCCTTTCTTCTTTTGCGTGCTGTAAGTTTTGCTTTTTGGGTGTTGTTGTTGTGTTAAGTTGCCCATAACTACTTAGAGTCAAAACTTTATTACGAATTGTGTGATTTTGCTTTTGAAAATATTCTCCCTTTGGGGCTCATAGGTGGCTCAGTTGGTTAAGTGTCTGACTTCGGCTGAAGTCATGATCTCATGGTTTGTGGGTTTGATCCCCGTTTCGGTCTTTGTGGTGACAGCTCAGAGCCTGGAGTCTGCTTCAGATTCTGTGTCTCCCCCTCTCTCTGCCTTTCCCCCACCACACTCCGTCTCTTTTGGTCTCTCTCAAAAAGTAAACATTAAAAAAATATAAAAAATTCTCCTTTATTTCATTTATACTAATTTATAGTCTGATGTTAAGCTTTTACCCATATCTTCATTTGACTTGTATACTTTTGCTTCTTTTATTTCCCATCTCTCTGAATCACATAAAATATGTGATTTCAGCATAGAGCCATGTTCTGAGTTTGCTTTTAAAGTTTTATTTATTTATTTATTTTGAGAGAGAGAGAGAGAGCACGCACATGTGTGCATGTGTGGGAGAAGGGTTGAGAGGGAGGGAGAGAGACAGTCCCAACCAGGCTCCATGCTGTCAGTGTGGAGCCTGATGCAGGGGTTTGATCTCATGAACTGTGAGATCATGACCTAAGCTGAAACCAAGAGTTAGATGCTTAACCGACTGAGCCAACCAGCTGCCTTGAGCCATGTTCTGATATGAGATTCAGTCTAAAAAATCTTATTTTTATAATTGTGTTACATGTATTTGCATTTGTTGATGTGACTGTTGTTTGCTTCTAGTTCTGTTATTTTATCTTACTTTGGTTCAGTTTTTATGGTCTTAAGAAACATTTCACTGTGTGATCTTTCTTTCTCTCCCTAATATTTTTCATGGAAATTCTCAAGTATCTAAGAGTTGGAAGCATTTTCTGTGAATACTGGCATGTCCACCACAAAGATTCTACAGTTTCATTTTACGATACTTAAAAATTTTTTTTAAGTGTTTTATAAATTTCTGAGAGAGAGAGGCAATGTGAGCAGAGGGTCAGAGAGAGAGGGAGACACAGAATCTGAAGCAGGCTGCAGGCTCTGAGCTGGCTGTCAGCATCGAGTCTGATGTGGGGCTCGAGCCCACGAACGGTGAGATCATGACCTGAGCCGAAGTCAGACGCTTAACCGACTGAGCCACCCGGGCGCCCCTTTATTATACTTTAAAAAAAATCAAATATATATCTCTACCCATATGTAAACCCATCTTAAGTTTTTAAACATTTTTTAATGTTTATTTTTGAGAGAGACAGGGTACGAGTGGGGGAGGGGCAGAGAGAGAGGGGGACACAGAATCTGAAGCATGCTCCAGGCTCTGAGCTGTTAACACAGAGTCCGGTGTGGGGCTCCAAC